GCAGAAATGTTCACATGTAAGAACGAATTTGACAAAGCTTGCCCAAATAGAAACAGCTGCTCTTGAATATTGTCGTCTTTCTCCGTAACCCCTAGAGGGCAGAAGTGTTTTAGAAATCAGGGCTGCGATCAGCCCCGACAAAATGGTGCAAAACGTTTTTTAAACGGAAACGGTGGTGCGTTGAACACCCTGTTCTGATGACGCAAGAGTTGCAGTTATGGCAGCTGAGAAGGTTCTCTCAGTTGAAAAAAACAGCATTTGCTGGTTAGGTATGTTTTGACGCTGGGATGCTGGTTTAAGCTGGTCCTTTACTGGTTTATGCACCAGCAAAGGACCAGCTTAAACCAGCAAAGGACCAGCATAAACCAGCAAAAGACCAGTTTAAACCAGCAAAGGACCAGCGTCAAAACATACCTAACCAGCATATGCTGTTTTTTTCAACAGGGCTTTGTGTTCTTTTTGAAGAGTTTCCGGAGCAAATGGCTTTCAGGATAAAACTGGCTTCCCTGGAGTCATTGGAGCAATCGATGGCCCACACATTCCCATCCCAGCACCCACACTCCATAGAAACAGTTACATAAACAGGAAAGGACATGCACGTTTTTAACTCCAAGCAGTGTGTACATCACAGATGATGTTCCTGGATGTGTACACTGGTTGGCCGGGGTCTGTGTTTCGGAACTGCCCATGATATGGCCATCTCCAGGATGTAATGAGAAGTGCCTACCGCCTGCTTGGAGACTCCGCATACCCACTCAACACATCTCTCATTACACCACAACATTGTTGACAACATTGGCATCCATTTCGTATTCAACATGGATGCTAATGTGAGGTCATTTTATGACATCACTGAGTGATTGAATTAAAACTTACAAATAAGATCCAATAATGTATAATATTTTTTATAAAAGCATGAATATAACATTGTCTTTGATTAAACTGCACTCAACTCATCTGATGTGCTAAGTCATGTTGATGTGGCACAAAAACAATTGTACATGGAAAAGATTATCACCAGCAAAAGATGACACGATCAGGACCGGCTCCACACTGGGATCATCAGCCAGGAGGTCCTCCATTGATGAGAAAAAGACCCAGCTGCTGGCACCACTCCCAGTCTTCTTATTACTGTCCACTATTGTTTTGTATCTAATAATAGAAACCCAGAAATAGCAAATGTCTTCAAGTGGCCCTACTCCCAAAATAATGCAAATGCCAGTATCAAAACAAACCTGTGCTATAACTGCCTGAACACATGCCTCTGCTCCAAAGTCATATCCTTTTGCCACACTTCTACTTTCCTTAATACAGGAGATTGAAGGAGTCTTCAGCCATTTGCTTTGTCAGAGAAATTAGAAGCAATGTTGCATTGTGCGTCCATGGCTTTGTATCTATAGCACACATTTAAATCGACAAGTCACAGAAAATATGTCAACGGAAAAATTGTGCTTAGGAATGAACTTAATGTACCTTTATGCATTTGTTGGGGGGTTGAGACTGGTGCCCACTTTGGAGCACAGGCAGGTGCTGGTCCAGCAACAGGCAAATTAAGTGGTGCAGGAGCCGGAGGCAATGCAGTGGTGCAGCGGGAATGTGTAGGCCTAGTGGAAGTTGACTAGGCCCATTCGATGCACGAGCCTGTTCCAAAGGGATTGCTGAAACAGAAATGGAAGCACACATCTTACCAAATTCAGACTGAAAACACATCTATTTAGCCTTGCATACTACTGACGAATTTCTATTTCTTACTTTTATTTCTAGTTCTTACTTTTTTAATACCTTGTATTTTCTTTCTCATTTTTATGTAAAGCACTTGTATGAAATTTGGTATATACATAAACTTGCCTGCCTTGCAATAAAGCTAAAAATATAATGCTGTATTTTTATTATAAAACTCTTATGACAAATATGTCTTCTAATATCTTCAATTGTTGCGTATACCGAGCTGCAGCGGACACATTGGTAAAAAACTTTACTTGGACCCATTGTGTGAGCTGTCTCTTTAATACCGCATGGTTTATATACATGTTGCTGCTGATTGGGCTGACATTTTTGACATGCACACCCACCAAACAAGAGAAAACGTATCTCAAACCTCGTTGCACACAGTTTCCAGGAAACATGTTGTTCAACCTGGAAACCTGCTCCGGTTTGAGCTTGAACGTGCCCGTCTTTGCAAACAGTCTCCTAGCATTTAACTTTGGTTTAATGTTTCATTTTAGCTGTTTTTATTATTTACTGTTTCTGTCTTTCCTGGATGAATGTGTACATTCCCGGAGAACCATGAAACAGTTGCAAAATGCCATATACAGTCAGGTTAAGGTGACTTAATATTTTTCCTTTTGTTATACTGGGATAAGTCATATTGGGATGTATGCTAAAATTGTTGGAAGTGGCACAGCCCTGCCTAGAAAATTTTCCACCAGCCACCACTGGGGCCATCTGGAGCACCGAGAGTTTTCCCGGTGGGCTGCTGTATAATGTGGGCCGGCCCATCGCGTAAATATAGAGAATTAATGAATTATAGGCTAGTAAAGGTACGTAGCCTATAGCCTTCCATCGGCCCACTTCAATTAAACATTCTAATTATTTTAGCACGCAGCGGCTCAAAAGCGCTCGTCAATCAAATCGAAGAAGGCGGGATTTACTGTTCACAGATGCTGAGCTGTGCGGCATTTGAATGCGAGCTGAGGTAAGATGTAAGCAGCTGAATAGCGAGACAATTCAGCAATATTTGCCAACTGTTTACGATTAAAAAAAAAAGTTAAACGACAGAAATTAAACAAACTACTACTGGCATTTTCGAATTTCTTAATGCCATTTATGTTATTCGTCACAAGATAAGAGTGAATGTTTGTAAACCTATATCCAGGCTTTCTTCTGTAATTTCAAGTGTCTAAGAAAATGTTTTAAAAATCTGTAAAATATAATTCTCAAACTTACTCTAGAACATTGTAAATCTGAAGACTTAGTAACAACCGTCAAGTGCCGTGATTAGGAATTATAGCCTAATAAAAAATATAATTTGCTAGCCTGTTTCACATGCATCACACACTGGTGGTCAAATGTTTAAAATAATAAATACTTTTTATTTATTAATTTATGTTTTGAAAGAAGGCTGAATTTATTTGATCAAATACAGTAACAAATATTAATACTATGAAATATTACCATCCTGCTACAGAACACCTAATATGCTTGGGAGACATTCTTGTCAGTGCAGCAATGGCGGACTATGTACAACTCGCTGTGAACTCGCTCAGGGTGGTTCTATGTTAAAACAGCAGTGTCTGTCAACATTCGTGGGCTGGGCCTGTAGCTAATGTGACGTCACATTAGCACCAATGCTGAAAACAAGCCATTGGGAGACACTACTTATTATTTATGGGGATTTAAAAAAAAAAAGGAGTGGGTGGAATTTTATCATTATAGGGTAGTTGTGTACACACACTGCCAACACACATTTATGTCCTAACACCTTGCAAAAGTGAATTTTGCATAATAGGTCCCCTTTAAATTAATTTAATGCAACATTGTTAAATAAAAGTATGGCTATGCTTTTAACCTTACCCTGGACTGAATGGTAATGTATCATATTTTTCACAAAAATATTGAGCAGCACAACTGTTTTCAACATTGATAATAATCAGAAATGTTTCTTGAGCAGCAAATCAGCATATTAGAATGATTTCTGAAGGACCAGTAGAAATGCACCATTAAACCTGTGCACATTCGGCACTACATTCCAAGTCTTCTGTGTAAAAATTCTTCTAAATTATTCACTATTGGTCATATACACCAGGATAGACAAATTATAATGTAAAGAAGCATGCCAGTCATTCATTAATGTTAATGATATAAGAATTCCAATAAAAAAATAATAGATGCCATTTTTATTTCTGTATTGTGTTATTTTTATGTTAGTAAGAGGTGTTAAAAAATGCTCTGTGCATAATGAGTTGGTGGGTTTGGTGTGGTGTGTTGCAGAGATCGGGTGTGGGCCGCTCTTTGCCAGAAAGTCCAGGGCCACTTTTTAGCAAACGTGTGAAAATGCTCATAACTCCTGAACCGTTTGTCGTATTTGATTGTCTAATTTCATTGTAATCCTTGGCTCAAGACGAGCAAAATGGCTAACTCCGATTTCATTCCCGCCACATTCAAAAGTGGGCGGGGCCACTTTTACTAAAATGGCTGTAACTCTTGAACGATGAGGTATTTTCACCAAACTTGGTACACATTTGTATCTTAATCTGAGGACACGTGAAAAAAATTGGCAGAGTTTGGCCACTTGGTGAAAAAAAAATATTCGTAACTACGCAAGTCTGATTAACTTGAAAATTGGCATGACGTATCTTTGTCCAAAGTGTCACGACTGCTTATGATGACATTCACATGTCTTAAAAAACTTGGCCACCATCAGCCAATGAATTTTGAGCCATGGTTATCGGAGGCCAATCGGAACAAAACTTGCTGGGCTAGTCTGAATCATGCCCCTAAAGGTCTGTGAAAAATTTGAAAGAAATCAGCACATTATTCATTTCATGTTAATTCTAAACAACTTTGCCTCAAGAACCACTGCTTTCAATCAAACTGTGTTAAATATGTATTCGAGATTATAATGTGGCACAAAAGTAGGCTTTTTAAATAATTACAGCAAAACCTGAACATGGTATAATCAAGAGGAGACTTGCAGTAAGCATTTTGTTAACTTTATTTTATTCTAACCCAGTGTTGGCAAAAGTTCCAGTACTTGGGTACCAAGTTGATACTGAAATTGTAAAGACATAACAATAGTTTTTGTTCAGTGTGAGATCATTATTGTATTCTGAAACACAACATCAACAAAAAGAAGCCAAACAAACATGGTCTCACATTCTGCATGACTTTTCATATGTATCTGTAAGTGTGATAGCAAAACTAAATGTTTTATTTCACTGATCACAATTAAATCACCTTCCTCCAGAGAGAATGCAGATGATTTTTAAAGTTGCCCCTTTTCGTAAACCTCTTGTCACACTCAGAACCTGGCTATTTCTTTCCAGAATGTGTTCGCAAATGAAGTTTCAGGTCTTTTTTATATATGAATCTCCTGTTACACTGAAGACACAGGAAAGGCTTCTCTCCAGCATGATTCCTCATGTGAGACTGAAGGACTATTTTCTTACTGAAACTCTTTCCACACTGAGAGCAGGTGTACGGCTTCTCTCCAGGGTGAACTCTCATGTGATCCCCAAGGTTTAGTCCTGCTTTGAAGCTCTTTCCACACTGATTGCATGTGTAAGGCTTCTCTCCAGGGTGAATCCTCATGTGATTCCTAAGGTTTAGTTCTGATTTGAAGCTCTTTCCACACTGATTGCATGTGTGAGGCTTCTCTTCAGTGTGAATCCTCATGTGATTCCTAAGGTTTAGTTCCGATGTGAAGCTCTTTCCACACTGAGAGCAGGTGTAAGGCTTCTCTCCAGGGTGAACTCTCATGTGATCCCCAAGGTTTAGTTCTGCTTTGAAGCTCTTTCCACACTGATTGCAAGTGTAAGGCTTCTCTCCAGTGTGAATCCTCATGTGATTCCTAAGGTTTAGTTTTGATTTGAAGCTCTTTTCACATTGATTGCATGTGTAAGGCTTCTCTCCAGTGTGAATCCTCATGTGATTCCTAAGGTTTAGTTTTGATTTGAAGCTCTTTTCACATTGATTGCATGTGTAAGGCTTCTCTCCAGTGTGAATCCTCATGTGATTCCTAAGGTTTAGTTTTGATTTGAAGCTCTTTTCACATTGATTGCATGTGTAAGGCTTCTCTCCAGTGTGAATCCTCATGTGATTCCTAAGGTTTAGTTCCGATGTGAAGCTCTTTCCACACTGATTGCATCTGTAAGGCTTTTCTCCAGTGTGACTCCTCATGTGATTCCTAAGGTTTAGTTCCGATGTGAAGCTCTTTCCACACTGATTGCAAGTGCAAGGATTCTCTCCAGTGTGAATCCTCATGTGATTTCTAAGGTTTAGTTCCGATGTGAAGCTCTTTCCACACTGATTGCATGTGTAAGGCTTCTCTCCAGTGTGAATCCTCATGTGATTCCCAAGGTTTAGTTCTGATTTGAAGCGCTTTCCACACTGAGAGCAGGTGTAAGGCTTCTCTCCAGGGTGAACTCTCATGTGATTCCTAAGGTTTATTTCTGATTTGAAACTCTTTCTACACTGATTGCAGATGTAAGGCTTATTTTCAGTGTGAATCCTCATGTGATTCCTAAGGTTTAGTTTTGATTTGAAGCTCTTTTCACACTGATTGCATGTGTAAGGCTTCTCTCCAGTGTGAATCCTCATGTGATTCCTAAGGTTTAGTTTTGATTTGAAGCTCTTTTCACACTGATTGCATGTGTAAGGCTTCTCTCCAGTGTGAATCCTCATGTGATTCCTAAGGTTTAGTTTTGATTTGAAGCTCTTTTCACACTGATTGCATGTGTAAGGCTTCTCTCCAGTGTGAATCCTCATGTGATTCCTAAGGTTTAGTTTTGATTTGAAGCTCTTTTCACACTGATTGCATGTGTAAGGCTTCTCTCCAGTGTGAATCCTCATGTGATTCCTAAGGTTTAGTTTCGATGTGAAGCTCTTTCCACACTGATAACAAGTGTACGGCTTATCTCCAGTGTGAATCCTCATGTGATTTCTAAGGCTTACTTCTGATGTGAAGCTCTTTCCACACTGATTGCATGTGTAAGGCTTCTCTCCAGTGTGAATTCTCATGTGATCCCCAAGGTGTAGTTCTGATTTGAAGCTCTTTCCACACTGAGAGCAGGTGTAAGGCTTCTCTTCAGTGTGAATCTTCATGTGATTCTTAAGGTTTAGTTCTGATTCCTAAGGTTTAGTTCTGCCGTGAAGCTTTTTCCACACTGATTGCATGTGTAAGGCTTCTCTCCAGTGTGAATCCTCATGTGATTCCTAAGGTTTAGTTCTGCCGTGAAGCTTTTTCCACACTGATTGCATGTGTAAGGCTTCTCTCCAGTGTGAATCCTCATGCGATTCCTAAGGTTTAGTTCGAATGTGAAGCTCTTTCCACACTGAGAGCAGGTGTAAGGCTTCTCTCCAGGGTGAACTCTCATGTGATTCATAAGGTTTATTTCTGATCTGAAGCTCTTTCCACACTGAGAGCAGGTGTAAGGCTTCTCTCCAGGGTGAACTCTCATGTGATTCATAAGGTTTATTTCTGATCTGAAGCTCTTTCCACACTGATTGCATGTGTAAGGCTTCTCTCCAGGGTGAACTCTCATGTGATTCATAAGGTTTATTTCTGATCTGAAGCTCTTTCCACACTGATTGCATGTGTAAGGCTTCTCTTCAGTGTGAATCCTCATGTGATTCCTAAGGTTTAGTTCTGCCGTGAAGCTCTTTCCACACTGATTGCATGTGTAAGGCTTCTATTCAGTGTGAATTCTCATGTGATTCCTAAGGTTTAGTTCTGACGTGAAGCTCTTTCCACACTGATTGCATGTGTAAGGCTTCTCTCCAGGGTGAACTCTCATGTGGGCTTTAAGTTTACGTTTATGATTGAAACACTGTCCACATCGATGGCAAGTGAAATAACGGTGCCTCTTTTTTCTGGAGGAAGACGTTCCAGTCTGTATGAATTTTTCTCCAGTCATGAAATTATGTTTTTCATATTGATCTTTCGGTTCTACATCATTCAGTTCTTGACTCTCCTCTTTCAAAGACATCAGATCTAAAGTAAAAACAAAACAAAAAGATAAATACAAGTTAACACCAGTTTACAGGCACAAAACAACTGACATCAAAACAAAAAAAAGCATCAAAACCAACATTGTGCATCAAAACTGGGTTATTACAGACCAATCCTGCCACTCATGTCTAAAAAAAAAAATTGTGTTCTCTTCACTATAAAATGGTATTTATCAACAATTTCAGTCAGGATTTAAGCCCCATTGCTTATTACAGCTATACATGACCTGCTTTTGGCACCTAATCATGAAAGGCCAAAGTATACTTTGTTTTTTATCTCACAACTCTCTCACAAAAGCACTGGTCAACGCTGCCGTCTGTTGTTGTCGCAGTCGCTGCTATTTTGTTGTCATTCCATCACTTTAGTTTAGTTTCGGGCCAGTGCTGCCACCTTGTGGAACAACTAGTAAGTGCAAAACCAAGTCAATGCGCGTATGCAACCTGTGCATATAAAGTATGCACAGTTAAAAAAAATCAGATAGTGCTTGTACAGAAGTTGGCACACGTAAAAACCAAAGTAGATTTTGGCCTATAAACCACAACATTCTATCGGATAGCTTGAGAATTATGTTAGCATTTGTGGACAAGCATTAACATTGAACAGCGATTTGCAAGTGAAAACATTGTGAATGACCAGTGCTCTCTTCCACCCTCAGCAAAAATGACTGCGCACTGCTCCCGGTGTGTGTTCACTCATATGACATTCTTCAAAAATATAATTCATTTCTGTAGAGCTGCACATTTTAATAAGGATTAAATGAGTGAATTCAGCTTCGAGAATAAAAACCAACCTGTTTGTTCCTCAGTATCTTCATGTTTGACTCTGAATGTTTCTTCAATCTTCATTTCTTCTCTCTCCTCTTTAATAAACACCATCTTTGTTTGTTCCTCAGTATATTCTTGTTTCACTTTGAATGCCTCTTCAATCTTCATTCCATCACTCTCCTCTTTAATAAACGCCATTTCTGATAATAGTGTGGCACGTGGATGACCTGATTAGACAAGAAAAAAGAACACTCAAAACTAGCACTACAATTTAATAACTGAAGATGCATTCATCAAACAGTGTAATCGACAGCTTTACTGATCTGAAGATTCATTCATCAAAATCAAACAGTGTATTGACAGCTTTACTGATTATAAGGGGAGTTTTTTGAGAGTGCTTAAACTCGCACTAGACTGAAGTCAATTATACCATTCTTTGACAATGTAAATGTTCTTTGCTCGCTTTCTCTGTACAATTTATTTGCTGTTTGAATAACTTTGTAAGAAACAGGTGATAAAAACATTTGTTCATTAATTCTCATCGTTCCACTCTCCTTCCTTCATAGCGTCATCAAGCTTCAGCTTTGTTATTGTTTTGAAAATGCAGCTACTAGTGGCGAAAACTTACATATTGTGCCTTTAAACGGACAAACTATGGATGAAACCTGCTATGATTATCCTACTTTTAAAGTAAAAATTTGATTTAAACAATAGGTCTACATAATAATCACATTTGCAGTTCATAGGGGACATTGTATTAGCTCTACAGTTACAGCATGAAATACTACTTAAATCTGTAACATTCTATACAACATTTAGGCTACACATTTTATCTCACAATTCTGACTTTTTTTCTTGGAAATGCAAGTTTATATCTCCTAGTTCTGACTTTATAAAACTCGATTCAACTCCGTAATTGCGAGTGTTAGTTCTGAGGAAGAAAGAGCCAGAAGTGTGGGATTATATACTGAGGGGGGAAAAGAGAGAATGACAAGGTGATTTTTCTCAGATATAATCTCGGAATGGCGAGGGAAAAAAAGTCAGAATTTAAAAAAATAAACTCAAAATAACCTTTTTTTATTCTTTTATTCCACGACTTCCGTAGACTGCTACTTTAAGACTGTAATTTTCTGCCACCAGATAGGCTCCGCCCACAAAAACCTTCATCACATGCTCTTTTCCGTCACATCCTTTTCTTTATTTTTCATATTACCTGCGCACATAATTTCACTGGCTTCTGCGGCAGATCACACTATAAATAAACGCATAATCGCTTACTTTGTCCTCCGTGTTTACTTGCGTATGACAGTGTGCTGCGCAAGTGTTGCCAAGTCCACCATTTTCCTGCGGAATTGGGCTACTTTTTCCACTGTTGCCGAGGGTTGTTTTTCAACTCTATTGGACTAGTTTTGAGAAGAAATTGGGCAGATTTTGTGTAAACCTGGCAACCCTGTTCGTATTGTTCTTTTGTGCATGCGGGTCAGTTCAGAACCATGATCTGTTCACACTGGAAATCTGATTTCAGCCACATTTAAAACAACAATGTGAACAGCTACACAAAAAAAATTGGATCTGAGCAAATATCTGAATTGAGAACTAAGGCTCACAGTGTGAACGCAGTATTCTGATTTGCTGCTTAAAAAAACAAACATTTATTATTATTATTATGATGATATTGAAAACAGCTGAGTATAATTTTTTTCAGGTTTCTTTGATGAATAGAAAGTTCAGAAGAACAGCATTTATCTGAAATGTAGATCTTTTGTAACATTATAAATGTCTTTGTCATCACTTTATCAATTTAAAGCATTAATTTCTATAATTTATCGCCTTCCCCCCCCAAAAAAAATGGTATAGTGTATAATGTTACAAAAGCTTTTTATTTTAGATAAATGCTGATCTTTGGATCTTTCTATTCATCAAAGAATCCCGAAAAAAATCTCAACTCAACTGTTTTAAATATTGATAATCAGCATATTATTATGATTTCTGGAGATCATGTGACACTGAAGACTGGAGGAATGATGCTGAAAATACAGCTTTGATCTCAGGAATACATTACAGTTTAAAATATATTCAAATAGAAAGTAGTTATATTAAATAGTAAAAATATTTCACAATATTACTGTGTTTACTGTATTTTGGATCAAATAAATGCAGGCTTGGTGACCAGAAGAGACTTCTTTACAAAAACATAAAAAATCTTACCGTTCAAAAACTTTTGATATATAGAATTAGCTTTTCTGAACAAAACGGTGTCACTTGCTTCGGAATATTGGGAGAAAATATGAAGATATGAGAGAGATATCGAGCCCGTAACAATTATCTGGGAAAATGATAAATTAAACATGACTTAGTAACTACATTTCTATTGCTTTCCATGTTGAAGGACTTTGTATTGTTTCTATTTTAATGTACATTTAAATTTTGGATCACATTAAAAGCGTAATTTGAATATTGTGAATCAGGCACGTGCAGAGGGGGTGCGATGGGTGCTTTTGTCCAAAGTGCCCTTTTGTCAAGGCAATATTTTTTTTTTTGTAATTAAACGCCATTTTGTAAAGGCCTGGCCAATCTAACTATTAGTAAAATGAATGAATAATAATTTAGTCGTAAATAAAATTATCCACACGATGATGACCTTTCACCTGACGATCTCATCAGGGACTATCCCTCACCTTCAGACACCTTTAATGTAGCGCACTACCAGGATGCCTTCATAACGTCCGCGGCTGCCGGTAAGTGCAGTTCTCAGCGGAGCGGTGTGCTTGTATACTTATATTATTACATTATTATTATTATACAAGAACTGCGTGAAGAGAGCATGCGCAACTGTTGTTTATATTGCTGTGTGTAGCCTGTGGAAGTAAGGTTAGCTGCAGCAAGGGGCTATAATATTTTTGTTCAATATTTTCCTAATGACAATTTTATGATCGGTTTATAAAGGCTACTACGAGCACCTTTTCCCCATTTTTATCACAAAATAAGGCAGGAAATGTATAGTTTCTATAGGCTACTGAATGATATGTCAATCAGTACTGCATTATTCATAAAGTTTATTTATTACCTGGAGATAACTTGAAAAACACACATAAACCGTATATTTTCGCAATCGTGTGTTTATTGTCTTCACGTATTTTTCTGCTTTTTATTCAGCTCAGCTACAGTGATAGCGGATGCTTTTGTCCATATTAGGGTTTCCTGCACGTCACAAGTTATTACTGCTATGAGTCTGTTTTGGACTTTCTGCTCGAGAGCGCCCTCCGGCTTCGAGGATGAATTAAACACACACTGCATCCAGATATTCACTTCTCCTCATTTTGGATATGAATAAAACGTCAAGTCATGCATAGACTATCAATACGGTCTGTTTGAATTTAAATCTAGAAACCTCTACGTGAACACAGCTGCCCGAATAAAGTGCGGGGGACAAAATTACATTTCTTTAAAATTAAATATTAAAAATGCAGCAAGGTTCTACACAGCAATACAAACAAAGGTGCCTGTTCTCTTTCGTTCTTGCGGTTTGATTGGGAAAAGTTTAAAGGGCGTCGAGGGGTCTTGTCTTTATGTTATCGGACTAACAAACTATTACTTTGAACTTTTTTTGTTACAGTATTTATTTAAAAAGCGTAGAGTGCCTTAAACATAATGATCACAACCCTGAAAACACAGGCTTATACTGATTTTCTCATCCTCTGATTTATAGGCTACTTATCAATCCTGTTTTTATCATCATTATAATAAAATAAAAATAATAAATTCAGAACAGGATTATAATATAACTATTTTAAATAGGACTGAAATATTTTTTCTACAACAGCAACACCACCATACCCTGTAAACTCAACAATAATAATAGGACTAATTTAATTCCGTTTCTATTTCAGAGTGATTGAGAAGCGCAAAGAACTATTTATTTAACTTTGAAACTTAAAATGTTTTTTTCTGTTCCGTGTTTCTTTTTCAAAACTGTGTCACAGTATGTGCTGCTGTCAGTAACTTACAGAAGCATCTGTTTCAGCGAGCAGCGCAGCCCTATTAAAAGCCGTGCTCCATGTGCTCCTTTTATACTTTGAGCACCTGCCCCTCCAAAGCTCTCTGCATATAGAGTTTTCCGAGCGGCTGACACGGAGTTAAACGCGTTACAGTTTTAAAAAGCACAAACCTCTCTTCATCCGATCACAACAGACGCGGGAGCGCGGCGCACGCTGATGACGTCACACCGCCAGACCAAAATAAAAGTCCTCGCGCTCAAGTCTACGATCTTCTTCTTCCTCTTCTTTTAGGATTTAATGGCGGTTGGCAAACCAACTTAAAAGGTGCATTCCCGCCACCTACTGGAAAGGAGTGTGAAGCGCACAATGAATAGGAACTTTAGAAACAAGAGCTACCTTAAAAAATTTTTAAAAAAAATGTTTTATTAATACATGAATAAAAAAACGGTATCTTAAATCCTATTAATCAATCCTGTTTCCTTTAAATAAATAACTACTTCGCGATATATTCTTGATTGCTTCGATCCATCGCCTAACAAGACCTGGAGTGACAGATCATTTATTTCCAGATACCTTAAAGCTTGGCTTAGTTGGAAGCGTTCTCTTTCATAAGCCTCACATTCTATAAGTACATGTTCTACAGTTTCTGTTAACCCACATTTGTCACAATTTCCATTTTCATGTTTTCCTATTCTATGTAAGCACTGATTTAATAAACCATGACCAATACGCATTCTTGCAGTTATAACATCCTCTTTCCTGTTTCCAAATCTTCTTCTCTCTGAACCAACCTTTTCTTGTATGCAGTGTAAATGTCTACCTTTTGCTCCTTCTTTCCATTCATTCGGCCATATTTCCTGTATTTTTTTTTCGCTATTATCGCTTTTATTTCTGTTTTACTTAATGCCACTTCAATGTTTATTTGTGAATAATTTAAAGCCTGTTTAGCCAGATGATCAGCCTCCTCATTTCCTTTCACACCTATATGTGATGGTACCCACACGAAATTTACCAGAAGTCCATACTGTCTTATTCTAAAAAGACTCTGCATTACTTCATTTATCATGTCTTGTCTTGCTAATGAATTTCCACTTGACAAACTGTTTAGTGCTGAAAGAGAATCTGTGCATATCACTGCCTTTGTTGGTTGTATTTCTTCTATCCACTGAAGTGCTAGTAAGATTGCTATTAGTTCTGCAGTAAATACAGAAATATGATCTGAAGTTCTTTTTGACATTTTAATTTTGAATAGGGGAATATATACTGCTACAGCTGTTTTCCTAGAGTCTGGATCCTTTGAACCGTCAGTGTATATTTGTTCTGTGCTTCCTCATTGGCCTTCCATCCAAAGCTTTTTGTAACTTTTTGTATTCATATTCCCAACAGTCCTTCAACACCATTTTAACTGGATGAACGTCCGAATGTCCTTTTATACTTATCCAGTACCTCATCCTTAACTTGAGCCTACGAATTTCTTGAGGCATCTCGCCCATCTCTACCTGAACTGCTGATAATGGGGACGTTCTAAAAGCTCCGCAACAAATCCGCATTGCTTGTGATTGTATTGCCTCTAATTTTAAAAGTTGTGTTTTAGATGCAGAGCTATATACCATACTGCCATAATCAAGAGCCGATCTTATCAGAGAACAATAAATTATTTTAAAGGACTGTCTGCAAGCTCCCCAATCAACTCCTGCTAGAGTCTACGATCTCAAGACTGCAGAGAAATAATACACATAATAAAGTCAGAGGAATTCAGAGCTGAATTTTCGGTGAGTGCCATTCTGTCTAAAAGTAGTATGATACATTTCAAATGTTTTCAAATGTAATGCTTTTAAAAAATAAATGATAAATCATTCAATTAAACTGCATGTATTCTGTGTTTTAGTTTTATATAAGGTTTAATTCATTAATCGCTTTCCATTTTATCTATTTGTAAGATAAATTGTGTTTGACAAGAATCAAACTCTGACAAGAATGAACCAAGACAGAAATGTCATGTATACATTTGTATTTAGTGAACTACGTTCAAATGAGTCACATACAGGCATTGCTAGACCCTTCTTACAGGACATGAGCCCCAGAAAAACACTACTGATAAATCCTCTGTGTGTCAACAGTAGGGTTGCCAACTTCAGAAAATGAAGATAAGGGACAACTGTGATTCTTTATAGAAAATAAGGGACGCTCAAAATATTTGTTCTGTACCACATGTACCAGTATGTCCTTTCCGTGTCTACAGTTAAATATGTGTATAAAAGGTTCTCAGAAATAATCACATTTGTTTTGCTTAACCTATGTTCAATTATTCTAAAAAAAAAAAAAAAGTTTAAAGGGGTGCTATTATGCTTTTTCACTTTAGTTAGTCTGTAAATTTGCTGTTTGAGCATAAAAAAGATCTGCAAAGCTCAATGTCTAAGTCAAAAGGAGATATTTTATTTAACAGAAATCACTTTTCAAAAACTACAACGAACGACTCGTTTGGACTACAATGCATAGTAGACACGATCGGAGACACGCTAGCTTTTCATCCGGGTTTAAATCACGCTCAAATTGATTTGATTTTGATGCAATATTTACACTGAAGCTGCAGGCGGCTATGGTAAGGGGCATGACATTTTCCGACCGGGCGCTGAGTGCTGCCAATCCCAGCACACACTGGCCCAGCTAACCAATCAAAACACACACTGGCCCAGCTAACCAATCAAAACACACACTGGCCCAGCTGACCAATCACAGCACACACTGGCCCAGCTGACCAATCACAGCACACACTTTCTGACCAATACCGCCCGCTCCCGCAACTAGTGTGTCCGGCTCCCACAAACATTCTATTGTATATCATTTTTCACACTCTGTGTAAAGGGAGCACATCTTACAAGATCAGATATTTTTCCAGCTGAACTAAATTATTTAAATATACATAAAAAATCAAAACATCAGTAGGGGTGGTGCCGCGGTGAGCAAGTAATGTAATCAGTGTGTGAGTGCGACCAATCACCGTGTAAACACATGTTTATGTAACTCCATCATTCTTGTATGTGCCAAATTGTGGGACTGCAGGTTGGCGGGACCCGCGCTACATTTTTTTGACCGCCCGCTCCCGCGAGATTTGCTTCCCGCGAGATCTAGTAATGATTAAAAAAAATAAAACCAGTGTGGAATAATTGTTGAAAGTAGGGATAAGAAAGTTGCAAACTGTATCTCTCATTCCAGCTTGCTTATGCTCTCGTACATTTTGTCAGGCCTCTCTCCTCTTTTTTTTATTTTTTTTAAATCATATGCTCCTTAAAATTTGATTTTGTTAAGTTGTCTGTATTTGCATTAATTTTACTGCAGTATTGATGGGCTCTATTACTGTTTTGACTGGCAGTAACAAACCTTTCTTTAGTGTCTATATTTTGGCCATACTTTCTTTGGAAAGTATTTTAGTTTAATTATTGTTCCAAATGCATTTTGACTAATAACCTTTACATAAAACATTGTGCGACAACAAGTAGACTTGTTTTAGAACACCTTTAGTTCTTCAGTTAGTTTCAGCATCTATTCATTATAGAATGGTTACATGAAGCAAAAGCAAAAGCACTTATATGTTATGTTTTTTTTCACAGCTATAAATATTCAACAGTTTATGCCAGTGCAACAACCTACCACAACAGCCTCAACACTTGGGACACAGAGACAATCGCAAATTGTCAGCGTCACAAAGGAGGCAACCATGAAGGCAGAAATATTGTGGTCACTTAAAGTCACACAGTCTCATTATTCATACCACTCAAGTGAACACACACGTGAGTTTAATTTCTTAATCACAAAGGAGTGTTCATAAACCTCTTCAGAAATGTCTTAATTACAAAGTAAAGGTAATATGTTGAGTTTCTTATTAACTGTAGTGATAACAAAAGCAAATCAAAGGCCTGCTTGATTTTTATTCATTTATTTTTTTTCAGTTGGTTTATTATTTATTTGTTCAGGAGAGATAATAGTTTTTATTTTATTTCTACAGGTCAGCTTTTCTCTGCAATATTCCCTGACAGTGAAATTGCAAAGAGCTTTTAATGTGGCCAGACAAAGTGCGCCTACATATGCACTTATGGTTTAGCTCCCCATTTCAAAGGTCTTCTCACTAACAAAATCAAATCTGGAGATGAGAACTACGTGTTGCTCTTCGATGAGTCTCTCAACCGGATGTGTGACTTTCATGTCCGATTTTGGAATGGTGATCAGGTTCAGACACAATTTTTTGATACAGAGTTCATGGGGCATGCCAGAGCAGATGATCTTAAATTGGCCTTTGAGAAAGGCACTGAGGCATTGCCAAAGAAAAACATGTTGCAAATATCCATGGATGGACCAAATGTTAATTGGTCCTTTTACAAGAAGATCGAACAGTCCTTTGCAAATGAAAATGGATTGAACCTCTTGAATTTGGGCAGTTGAATTTGGGCAGTTGTGGTCTGCATATTGTGAATGGGGCATTCCAGAAAGGACTTTAATCAACAGGTTGGCGGGTCGATGGTTTTCTATGTGCCATATACCAGCTTCTACATGATTGCCCTGCCCGTCGAGAGGAATATATTAAAGTCACTGATGCACAAGATGGTCTTCTTCCACTATCATTCTGCCCAACAAGATGGGTAGAAAACACTCCTGTCTTGGAGAGAGCATTGCAGATCTTGCCAAACTTGGGCACATACTGTATGTGAGTGCTGTTGGAGGGAAAAGAACACCAAATCCTGACACCAAGTCATTTGATGAAGCACTGAAGAATCCTCTGCTGGAAGCACAGATACACTTTGCTTTATCTGTGAGTAAGACTGTCACCCCATTTCTGACAAAGTACCAGACAGATAAACCAATGGTCCCATTTCTAGCTGCAGATCTTTACAAGATGTTAAAGAATCTAATGTGTAGATTCATCAAACCAGAGGTCATGCAGGAAGTAAAGTCTGTGAAAAATCTCCTGAATGTTGACATTAAATTGCCAACAAATTATATAGACTGCTCAATACTTGTTCTATTTTTATTTTTATTATCTGTGTTTTTTGTTATGTCACTGTCATTCTGTTACACTGTGGAAGCTTCTGTCACGAAAACAAATTCCTCGTATGTGTAAACATACCTGGCAATAAAGCTCATTCTGATTCTGATTCTGAAGTGTCGACCTTGGGTATGTCACCAACAGAATCCTAAAGGAGATGAGGGCAAAGCAAAAGGTTGGCACAAGCACCATCATGGAATTCA